ATCGGCTGAATTGCACAAAACGCATGATCGCACCGGCTAGTCTGGTGCGTGTTGCCATTTATTTTGTTTTTGCCACGGTTAATCTTTTTGGGAATTCAGAAAGTGACAACCTGAACAAGTTTAACAAGAAGATTGTCGATAGCAGAATGTGTGTGCGAAGTTACAAGCACTGTGCGACCCAGCAATAATGAACAACGCACCAAAGCCACTAGCGCACTGGTTTTACCTGCAAATAAACAATTCAGCGAGGAGGGGAAATTTTTGATAAATCGCTGCAAAAATTTTAGCTTTCATGCAGTTTTCCTAAATTGTCTTTGATTCAACGAGCACAGTCTCTTACCTGATCCAGGGAAACCCTCGATAACAGCAAAATCCTTAGCCATAAGGCATTTAACAACGGCTCGCGCTTGATCACCATTCAACTGTTTTACGACTTCGGAAATAATAGAAATATCTTCTTTTCGCATTTTGGAGAAGCTGGGTGCTCTCATATCAATCAGCAACGATCGCATTTTTGCCCTGTTGCATTTTCATATCCATCAAGAACATAGTAAGCTAGGCAAACACAGAAAGTGGCCTTCCAAAAAATTAGAAAAACTGAATACACAGAATACGAAATTGCACTCTGCAAGCGCACTGGGTAAGAAAACAAGGGAAATTTTTATAAGACTCCGTTTCGAAGGGAAAATTTCAAAATTTTGCACTCACATTTGTTTGCTGTCTCGCATCAACATCACTAGATTCCCGAGATTTATAGTAAACGTAGAAGAACTATCATGCTTCTTCAACTGATAAACAGCTCCTACCACAAATGCATCGCTCCTGCAGTTTGCGACCACATCAAGATTAGGTCCTGTAAAGTGTAATGAAGGGATGAGCCCAACTGACAGAGTAATTGCCACTTTTCGAAGAAAAAAAAAACGAAGATTTAACGCACCTTTCGCTAAAATAACAGATGCCGTTGTAATAATTTTACTGTCAGCAGATAAAATGAGCAGCATAACTCCGTCGCTCATTGAATCCAACTGTTCATCAAAAAACTCTGTCCTAAAAAAAACTCGAAAAAGTGATTGAAAAAAAAAAAAAAACCTGAACAAGTAACTTTAACTTTGTCTTGCTTACGCATACTTTTACTCACAAGATAAGTTGTTTACTTTTTAATGTCCTGTGTTTTTTTTTGGCTCATTTTGCCTGTACCACCAGGAAGCATGAAAAGGAATGAAATTCGGGAAGTAAGTGCAACGAATTTTGCAGATGTATTAAACAAAAACTCAAAAAAGACCCTGAGAGCTATAACTGTCGGAAAAAGGTAATGGCACTGCTCCCTTCGTTACAATCAGTGCCTACTCTTCAGTTTTCGTGATTGACCACGTTTCGCAGTCCGTAGTCACCGCACAGCGGTTGGACCGATATCTCAATTCAAAACACAGACATTGGCAATACTGTGAAATCTGGCAACTACTAGAACTCGGCCTAGCCAGACCGGGATTCGAGTTACGATGACCGGGGTGGGGTAAGCGTGAAAATGGTAGTTTAGGCTTCAGGATCATAAAATAAGGAAAGAAGTGAGGTTATTAGCTGGAAACGAGAAGAAAGAGCGCTGCCCCCATGGATTTCTTATACGCAGAATGAACCAGGAAATGCAAAAATAATTGTTTTCAAAAAAAAAAAAACTGAAAAAATTCAAGCTTTACCTTTGAAACGAGATAACTGTTTGACTCTGTTTTTCGTCGATTTTATTAAGAACCACTTTAAAACATGTTCTTGACGTATGCCTGAATACAACTTCCACTCACAATTACGCAGTTATAAAAGCATACAGTCACAATCTCCAACAATTTATGAGAAAATTTAAGTTCGCTCAAGTCGAGGATGACAGTAAAAAAAAGCGGAAAGAACCAGGAACACAGATCCGGTTAATCCGCATTTCGATTAAGCCCCTGTGTGACCAGTCTTGGGATAAACTATAAATAAGCTACGTATATTCATATCTATGCATATTTGGAAATCAGCAGTGCTAGCTTCTTCACATGTAGCTGTTTCTACATCTTTCCTCACTTCCTCACACACATCTACTTCATTTATCTGCGACCACACTCGAACCGTCTACTAAGTCAGTGATGCAATAGCCGACCTTGCATTTATGTTCTCC